ATAAGAACTGAAGTAGATGCTTTTCAAATTTGAAAATAAAGACTAGATTCTCCTTCCCTTTTATAGGTATACAAAGATCTTACCATAAGAATCCTTGGGAAAAATCAGTTAACTTAAGAGACAGAGAAGAGATTTCCTGGTGGTGTTTACCTTTTTCTGACAGCTTCTTTATTTTGCCTAATTGTTGCAGCAATGAATATATGATTCACAAGCTGTATATGTATGTATGTATGTATGTATGTATGTATACATACATACATGCATACATACACACAGAGAGCTGTGATATATCATCTCATATCTCATCGAACTATATCACCTTCAATGAAGAGACTTTATCCTTCAGTGGATTGATTTGGTCTGATATTGCTACTGCTACTACTACTATCAATATGACAGCCGGGGTGATTAATGGGCTAGACTAGGGGTGAGGAGACATAGATCTAGTATTCCCTTAGGAAAAGAAACTGGCTGAGTGATTTTGGCTCAGTCATTTTCTTTCAGCCCTCAACTAAGAAGATGAAAAACAACTATTTATGTGCATTGCAGAGTATATATTCATAGACTAGCATGGTAAGATATATATTCAATTTATTATTCTATATTCTTTCTTCTTCTTCTTCCTGATTTTGATTCATTACAATGAGATAATTTATCTTGTAATGCAAAATAGTTGCTGTCAAATGCAGTGTGTTTTCTTCAGATTTCATTAGAGATAAGGTTGTTACAGACCCATTACTATACTTGATAAACTCTAAAGAGTTTGTTTAAACTCTCATATAATACCATTTTGTAGTAATTGCTGTTAATATCCTATCAAAAGCATAAATACCACACAGAAAACAACACGTTTTTCTATGTTTTGTGAATGCAGTCAATGTGATTTGGGTAAACTATTGTTAAGCAAATCACATTCTTAATTTATTTCATTATTTGTATTCTATACACAATATAAAATATAATTACACACAGAGAGACAGACATATTATATTTTGTGTGCTTTCATGTCAGTGTTCAATTCTGGTACGTGCCTGGACATGTTCTTACAATTTTCTTAGCAAAGGCTTGGATGTAGTTGGCCATTGCTTCCTTCCTGGGGCTGAGAGAGAGGGACTGGGTCAGTCAGCTGACTTCATGCAAGATGGGACTAGAACTCATGGTCTTCTAGTTTCTAGCCTGGTGCCTTAATTAACATACTATACCAAACTGGCTCTTGCGTTGCTTCATAGGGCACTGACATGAAGCATTAGGCCATCAGGCTATCACTGGTTATCTACTTCTAACATCTGGAATTGAAATATCCTATACTATTCCACTATGAGTATGCTTTATTGTGGTCAATTCTTCCCTTGAGTGCTTGTATAATGATATTTTATTTATTACTGACATTTGCTAACTAAATTGGCTCTCAATTTATTTATTCTTTAACCACTTGACCTTTCCACAATTCAGAACTCAATTCTCTTTTCAAGGTTTTAATCCTTATAATTTCCTTTGAGTCCCTTCCAATCAGTTTTACCATAGTGAGACAATGACTTCATAATACTTGAACATTTTCCTTGTTTGTATACAGTTTCCCAAATTGCCAGAAATTTTACTCTGCTGTATTTTTAAAGTGTTATAGTCTTCAAATTCTTACTATTTATTTACTAAGTTGTTCAGATTATTCTCCATGCATATTTTGTACTATATTACAAAAGAATTCCTTTTAATCCAAAACAGATGAACCTGGCCATGCTAACTGTAAGATAAATCACTTGTTTGGAAATGAGTCTAATTGAACATAACTCTTGGTTGCATTTCAGTTTAAATCATAACTGACTTGCAGCATTATTTATGGTGAATGATTTGTATTTACAAATCATGCTACATCAAAATGTTTAGGCTTCACATGTATGAATCCAGCAGTTGTGGTTTGATAACTATGATTATAACTGTGTTTTGTAAATCTGCTTTATTTAATAAACCGTGGTTATCCACGGTTTAGTAGCACATGCAACCCAACCAAAAAAACGGTATCCAGTTTTGGTCAAAGCAATTATTTCAGTAAGTCTATTGAACTAAATATGCAAAAGTCTTGACAGTAAGGAATTAGAATTTTCTCTGCCTTTTTGCTATCTGGTAATAGGGTTTTTGTTTTTGCATTGAGATACTGTAGATCTAAAAGTGCCAGTTTGAGAAATTATATCATAGTCCAGCTCTCGAAACCCCAGATTTCAGTGACTATAACCTAAATATGCCTAAATCTAGCTCCAGCCCCAAATATACAACAGATGAAAACACACTCGCACTCACACACAGGGAGAGATTAAAAGCAATGGAATGGCAAGGACAGCAAAACATTCTGGTTTATTCATTCAAAATCAAATATCTGGGATATTTTGATAACAGTTGATTTGTCTTCCAGCCTGCTTGTAATTATAGTTTTCTTCTCTTGCAGATACAGATTTACATGCATTAATAACTGATGTTTCTAGGTAATCAATTTACATATGCAATTAGAGTTTCTAGTTGGAAAATTCTGCATGCTAAAATTAATCCTTGCCTCCATGCTTACCTAAGTTAATTAACAGGAAACCTGAAAGAATTATTGGTCACAATTAAAGTATCTAGCTTCAAAGTAGGAATGAAATAACACCAACTTGAACTTTGGAGACTACGTAGATTATTTGACTTGTATCTATTGACAAACTCTCTTGGAACTAATCGGTGATCTCATTGGTTTACATGATAATGTATGAATGCTGGGTTTGTGTAATTTGTGCTTTTTATAGATTCCTGTCTAATTTGCTGCCTGACCAATTCCAAAGATTTCATGGTCTGAGATGCAAAAAATATCCAAGATATTTAGATGGATGGAAATGGCCTCAAGAGATCCCGTTGATCATTCTCAACAGCTATCACTTTCTGCCCGTTTTAGGGCTCCAGCAACAGAATTAAGCCTCCTTCTCCTTCCTATCTTTGTTATACATTCCACTGCCTGCTTCAACCATTCTCCTTCTCTCTGCTCTTGATACTTTTCCATCTTCCAACAAGGAATGATATTTGTTTCCAAATTTGATTGATATGCCACTACCCAAGATGGCTGGGAATCTCCCCCCAAAAAGAGATCTGCAATCTCAAAGTGCTATGAAGAACGTTACATCTTGGCATCCTTTTTGTGATGCTCACACCTGGTCCTCACAACTCCACAGAGGGACAACATTCTGGTCTCAATCCAAAGCAGGTTCTGTTAGATCAGCTACATAAAGTGAGCTTCAGTGCTGGTTAGGACAGCAGTAACACTCCTGAGAGAAATAGGGGAATAAAAATCCTTATCGAAAAAAACCCAGTGAAACAAGGATCCTTTGAGGCTGTTTATTGTTTTGACCTAGAGATATGCTTTACCTTGGAACAAAGAAGCAATTTCTTTTTAAAGATCCTGCCTAGTGGGATTAAAGTCATTTGTTTTGTGTTCCTCAAAGGAAATGTCTCTGGTGAAAACTTTGTAGATAAGTAACTAACAAACAATTGTCCACAGGCTCTCAGCAGTCAGATTTCTTAACACAAGGCAAAATAGTCCACAAATCTGATTTACATTTTTATAGCAACCATGTTTCTAAGTGCATGTATAATAGGAGGGTCAAAAGGTCCTAGTTGGTTCCCTAATAAAACTTCATATTGCCTATATTTACCTTAACACAGGATTGTTCTATGTAAGTCTGAGAGTATCCATCAATAGTTTTCAAATGTGCAATACTGCAGGAAGCGTAGATAGCAGATAATACTAATAACATCTGCCTACCTGCCTACTGCAAACTTTTTCTCAACTTAGCCAAAACCATCTATTTTTCATGTTTCCATCTTTTTTCTTACCATTAAAAAAAAAATCTACTAAGAAGAGAAAGAACCCCACAATATGTTGTGTATTTTAAGGCTAATCCTAGGAACAATCTCTTGAAGGCAGTTTTCATCCAGTGGACCAGTCAAATTTGGGCTGAACTGATTCAGGGAGAGATCTCCTGGGCAGTCACACACGTTGATGGTGGTGTTGTCGTTGCATGTTTTTTAAATCCTAATCAAGCTTGTGCATACGAAGTGGAAACGTCAAACTTGCTCCGAGCCTTCTTCCACACTTTGTATGTGAACGCTAGCTGTGAACTTGGACAAGGTTACACAAATATATTTGTCATTTTTAAGAAGTTGCAAGTCTCCGTAAAATGACACAAGACACAAAGTATGAGAATTTCTCCCTGAAGGCTGAGTTCTCAGAGAAGCTCAGCATTCAGGATAATTCCTTAAATGAGCAGAGTATCATTATAAGGCTCCATAACTTTGTTTCTCTGGTGAAGGGGCTGTGATCTGGGTTTGGTTCCATATGGCTGTATATATGCCATAAATGTAATCTTGCTTTCTGCTACTTGATGCTTTCCAGATGTGTTGAATTACAATTGCATCAATCCCCAAAGCTCTAATCTTATGCAACATCTGCTGTACTACTATTCATATACATGTTTTTTAAAAAAACATCCTGAGTTTTATAAAAATTTAATTTGTGAAGCATTTTTGCAGTTTTATTGAATGCAGCTGTTCTCTTTTAGTATCTTGTTAAGTCTTACAGACTGTTACCTTACAAGTTCTATGGCTCCAGTTATGAATACAATGCATAGATTACCCTACAATGTATCTTTTCAGCCTTTTATGTCCTGAAGAGCTTCATGCTTAGATTCCCTTTTATAGTTTGATCTCAAGAATTTATGTGAATTTCTGTATTTAAAATGGTGGGAAATAAACTCTGTTATGTTGCAATAAAAACAACTGATTTTCTATGGTCTCACCATGTCCTTTGGGTGCCCCAGAACTTTCAGATTATTTAATATATACATGTTGTTAGAACAGCGTAATATGATTCAATTTATGAGGCAGGGTATTTTCCATAGCAACCTCTGCACCCTCTCCATTTATGTCTGCTCAGAAAAGCATTTGTCATTTTTTAAAGCCAAAAAAAATAATCAAACGTGTTTTATATCCAAGTCATTTGTTTTATATCTTACATAGTAAAACAAGGAGAAAGATGACTGTAATAAATTTTTCCCTCAGTCAGTGATATATTTGTCTTTAGCTTGACAAGCCGAGGACCTGCGAGGGGAAACGAGGAAAAACGTCAGATTTAACTCTTTGTTCAAACATCTTTCTAAATTAACCATTTTTAACAACCAAAGCTGGTTAGTTATTGTCCTTCAAGTAAAATAAACACCTAAAAATGGGTGTTTGTCTGAGTGTATTTATGTGTATATTCACGCACATATATAAAGCCATAGAGTACTTCAGGTTCCATGAAGAAACAAAAGGAGCCCTTTTTACAATTTTTTTAAATAATGCTGTTTTTTTCCAAAATTTCACAGCTTTTAACTTAAACTTTTCAAAAACTCTTTTTTGGCTGAGCTAAACTCAGCTAACTTTAGCTGAACTCAGCTGAGTTCATGTATTTTCTGACTGCTGTAGCCATTGTCTTTGGATTTCACCCCTGGCTGGTAATATAAAGGTTGTCAAAAGAAAAAAAATGCAAATATTTCACTCTAGTAGGGCAAGTTTTTTTGTGTGAGCCAAAGCAACCCTTACCTAGGTGCTGATACCATTTCACAAGATCCTTCTTCAGTAGTTGCATACTTTTACTGCTTTTAGAGAATGCTTAAACATTAGTTTTACTTCAGGTCTATAGCATTTCAACAAACTTAACAACCCCTTAGCCATGCCTTTCTAAATTTTATTTATTTAAGGAATTTATTCAGTCATCCTGAATGCCTTTAATCAGCAACATCATGAGATATGAATTTTACAAGAGAAGTATTAATATCAATGTAACCTCCCAAAATTGCTGTGAGTGAGGGAGCTGTTATATAACCATTTTTATGCAAGTTACACAGCTTAGTTTGTGAAGGTTAATTGCTTGCTGTTTTTCCAAGCCAATTGAACCTGCATGTCTCTAGTCTGAATGGTGAGCTTTCTAGGTGTAGCATGCAAAGCAATCGTATAAATGGGATATGAACAGTATATGAACTGGGGTTGCATGAATAACCAAGTACACATTGCTCTGAATGTTTCAAAGATTTCCCATTCCTGCCCTACTTAAATATACTGGAAAAAAACTTCTATATGCTTCTGGCTATTTTTTTTTTCACTATAAGCCTTAACTTCTACAGGTGAAAAAAAAATAGTTAAATTTTCACTTTGCCGTGATACCCTTACCTTGTAACCTATTCTCATTGCCCCAGACCATCCCAACTACAAGTGAAAGCAAGTAAATCCAGCCCTATTAACTTTTCCACATTAATCAGCTATCACTTACCTGAATTTCATCAATAATACAAACATCAGTGCAGCCTTCCTCAATCTAGTCAATGATCACTCAGCCTTGACGAGATAAACTAACCCAATAAATATAGAACAGTGTTTCTCATGCAGGCTGAGGAATTCTGGAAGCTGATGTCCATACATCTTCAAGTGGCCAATGTTGATAAATGCTGATATAAACAGTTTGGTGAAGAGTCTTCAATCCCAGCTGGTAAAAGGAATGAAAATCTTGCAAATAGAACAATGCAGCTGATTTTATGATCCAGAGTAGTTGTACCCCAAACGTTAAGTTTTAGCAAGTAACAGCATTAGACAAAGAACTTTTCAATTGTTTGTTGCTCAAAAAGCAAAGACAGATAAATTATAAATTTATTAAAACTAATTTTATTATTATACTAGTATATACATTTTAAATCCACATGCAAAAAGACTGCATTTTCAAGAATTATATTTTCTTTATAAAGTTTTTATCTTTGCAAAGATAATGTGCTTGCATAGATTTAAGATAGCACTCTTTTAAAGAGCTAAATGTAGACATATTAAATTAATTAGCAATTTTATCAAATTATCAATTTGATAACCAATTATCAATCAAATTTATCAATTCAATAATATTAAGACTACTTTTGTCTCATCTATGTAATAAAAATATAAATAGAAACAATATAGAAGGGAGAACTATGAAGGACTCAGATATGTCTAATTATTCCAGCTATGTAGGATTCAAAATTAAGCAAGTCAACATTAAAAAAGGAGAACGTAATTTCCCCTCTAAGTCTAGTTGCAGATAGCAAAGATATTGTTTTGTTTAAGTCTGAAAATACTATTTTGGTTCAGGTACAAAAATTCTGAAAGACATCAGCCCCCTCAAGCCAGTTTTGAAAGCAGTTGAGCCCTCTCTCACGAATCTGCTTTCTCCCTTTATCGGTAATTACTTCTCCAGTTTGTTTAACAATCACAAGTTTGGGAATGGCTGTTATGTTGTATTTCTTCTTCAATTCACTGTAAAAAAACAAAAGGAGAGGAAAAAATTGGCTATACTATGTGCATATAAGTAAATGAACAATCAGGCCTGTTACCATTTGTCCATAACGGTGACATTTGTCTATAACTGATTTTGAAAGCGACCTGAGTCCTTAATGATTAGGAAGATGCTATTTCACCTTTGTTTCTCCAAATATGTCTTGAAAGGTTGTACACAAATGACTTGTGTTTTAATTTGATCAATACAAAGCAGTGTGTTACAAAATGTTTCAGACTTGTCAGGATTTTCTTGTACATACGTGAGACAAAGAATGTTGTGTTTAAATTGAAGAAAAAAAACATATTGACAGCTGCCCAACGCAAATCCGTTACATGAAATACTGTGCGGTGAATCTGTGAATATCTATTCCATTGTTAGCTAAAGTTTACAGCAGTGTATTTGAAGTGAACTATTGGTTCAATTTAGCATATCTATCCAGTTTGGGGGCAGTTCTAGCATAACATTATCTTAGTTTTCAAGCTAATGTCCAACAGACAGTAAAGAAATTAAATCTGAAAAGAGATTAATTATTTCAGCAAGATAGTGATTGCAACTGTATTTTCAAACCTATCATGAATGCTTCCTGGAAAGAAAAAGAAAAAAATTGAAAATGTCCTTCTCGGTCTCCATATTACTGAAATTCTGCAAGGAGATTTTAATTAATTAATTTATAAAATGTATTGGCTACCATCTTATCACAAGGCACCTCCGGATGGCTTACAATCAAAAAATGTATTTATACAGTATATTAAAACATAAACGAACTCAAGCCAGGTATTGAAATCTAATGACACCTGGCGAGGGCATGGTGGAGGGAGGTGGGACTGGCTGTTAATCAACTACCTCCATTTGTGCTGTTCCCCCATTGGGGTCCTAAGCCAACTGGCAGAGCCAGGTCTTGAGGTCCTAACAAAAGGATAGGAGGGCTGGGGTCAAACTCACATGCGGGGTGGGGGTGGGGAGAGACATTCCAGAGGACAGGAGCAACAGCAGAGAAGGTCCTCCTCCTGGACCCCACCAGCCGAAATAATCAAGCTGACTCCACCCACAACATGGCTCCACTGCTGGCATCAGTGGGAAGGGCTAATCCCAGTGGGGTGAGCTGGTTCCTCAAATAGCCTTAATCATGTTTATATATGCAAGGAGACTTAAGAATATTTCTGAGCTATAAGAGAAAACATCCAAAAGCACATGGTTGACATGAAGGCTTGCAGGATAAATTAGCTTGTAAATTACGAAAATAAAATAAAACGATATTGAAATGACAAGAAGGAAATGTATTAATGGATGGCAGCGGCTACACAAAAAGTACTTTATCAACCTGTCGAGCCAGTAATTCCCACAGAATCAAGGTAGGTGAAATTCTGCTTTATCTGTGCGCAGAAGCAAAGAGGGCCCCTCTGCTGACTGTTTCAATAAACTTCAGCAAAAAGGAAGAGGAGCCCAAGAATCATGTTTATGTTTTAGCTTTTATACTTTTCACAGAAAGAAGCACAAAGTTAGAGTCTCACTCATTGGTTATTTATCATTTCCTGGGCGTAGTGATCTGGGCCCCTGGCCAGATTTTGCCCATAGCTATAAGCTAAATGTCACACTACTTCTCAGTAATAGGCTGACTTGCAATATTTTCTAGAACTGTTTACCGACCACATCTCTTCATCAAACTAATGCCTCTTCTATGTGGTCTAGGCCTTCTGCAGTTTCTAGCAATTACCGTGGTTGATTTGTATCTGTGGTTGAGCATCTGCTGGCAAACTTCCGTTTCTCTGATCTAGGTTGCTGCTTTGCTGAATCTTTGCAAAAAGCTTCTGTTTAATTAGCACTTAATTCGCTATGGAGTAACTTAAACACATAGTTCTACCTGAGGTTGCTTTATAAGCTATAATTGAAGTATATGTTCTTTACTGACCAGGACTTCATAGGACCAAGATTAAAGTACCAGGTTTTCATAGAAGACATGCTATTCCATCAGAGAAAATAGATGAATATCTTAGAGAAAAAGTCAATTGAGGATTACAGAGGAACAAAGACAAATTATGAATGGACCATAACATAACACAACAATAAGAAAAGTTTAAAAATAAATCAGGAAAGCTGCCTGGATCAGATGGATGATCAAGTTTGTATTACAATTACAAGTGTTTTGAGAATAAACCTTTGCAGCCTCTACAAAACACAATGAACTCTATTTTACAAGAAGGAAGGATGGCAGAGACTTGGAAAGAGGCTAATGCATATTAATATCTAAAGGAGGACAAGATTTGACCTTAGCAAGAAACCACAGGCCAATATTGTTACTGAATAATGATTATAAATTGTTTATAAAGATTTTAGCTGAAAAACTGAAAATAATTTTATAAGATTTTTTTCATAAGGATCAAGTAGGCTTTTACCTAAATGACAATTTCCTCACTTGACTCTGGGGAATAACATGAAGATGCCTTGCCAACAGCATTTTTCTACCATGTCCTCATGACATTGCCTGTGCTTCAGTTTAAAGTTGACACAGCATAAAGTTGTACTTGGCTATTTCAGTTTTAAAGTAGTTGGTTTCCTCTCGTCTCAATATAATTTTTTAGCATAAATCTAATCTGGCACACATCACTAAAAATCTGGTTCCAGATACAGTCAGGGATTAAAATTTTTTAAATTCCTGTTGGCTACTTTAGGCTGTTGTTACCTGGGCACTGAAAATTGCCTCCTGTTGCCATTTTGGCAGAAAGGATAATGTTAGAAGTGTATTGGATGTTTTGGAATATTTAGAACAACATAATGAAAAACAAGCTGCGCTGATTTTTTTTTAGACATAGTGAAGGCAAACTGAACTTTTTTGTTTAGAGAATTTTGGAGAGAATGTTACCATGTTTCTCCAAAAAGAAGGCTGGGTTTTATTTTCTTTTGACCCCGAAAAAACGGCTAGGCCTTCTTTTTGGAGGGTTCTAATTATTGACTCACCTCGTGGCAGTGGCATCGACAGCCTTGCCCAGAAGGAGCCCGCTGCTGGCCCACTTCTTCTGCGGCTGCTTGCCGCCACTCGCATGCATCGTTCCGGTCTCCGTTTCGCCTTCAGTTGCCTGATCGATTTGGAGCTCTGTTATTGGCTGCAGATGCCTTCCGGCAGGCATCTCAACCCAAAACAGAGGCCAGGATGATACGTTCGAGTGGCGGCAAAAGGTCGCAGAAGAAGCGGCCACAGAAGAAGGCGAGGTAGGTGTCGGGGTGTGCAAGGCCTGGTAAGTAGGGCAGCTTCACCCCTTCATCCCCACCCTAGCTTATTTTTTATCTGTGTGCCTCACCTCACCCCCTGAACCCCAGGGTAGGCGGGATCTTAATTAGATCTAATTTTGTGGGTGGGGCTTAATTTGATTGCATGCACTCAAAGACGTGATAGGGCTTCTTTTCAAGGTGGGTCATCTTTTTGGAGAAACACGGTATAAAGAGGGGAAATCAATTTATATTTCACAAATAGCATAAATAGCTGTGGTAACTTAACCAAACCAAGATTTTAAAAAAGGGACAAGACAAAGTTGCCTACTGTCTCTTCTGTTAATAAAACAGATTTTAAAATTAAGAAAAAGATAAAATATTTTGGTATTATTATGACAAATGAGAATTGTATCTTATTTTTAGATATAGAATGAAATTAAAAAAGACATGTTCACATGGGATAAAGTACAATTGTCATTGTTGGGGAGAATTTCTGTGATTAAGATAAAAGTTTCACCTAGAATGTTATTTTTGTTTCAGACAATCCCTTTTTTGACAACTGATGTACCCTCTAAAAATGTCAGGATATATCTAAATTTGTATGGCAGGGAAACACCCCAAGTTAGGTATAAGGTATTTCAAGATGCAAAGGAAAGAGGAGGATTGGGTCTACCAGATTTGAAATTATATTTTGCTGTCTGCTCTTTAACTTGGAAAAAAGAGTGGGTGTAAGTAGTATAAGGCTATTGGAGTTAGAAAGACACAATCTGAGATTTGGGTAGCATGGATATCTATGGTATGACAAAGCTAAAGTTAATGTCTCAACATTATACAAACCTAAGATCATGGTATCCAGTCCCATCACTTCTGGTAAATAGGAGGGGAAGAAATTAAAGCAGTGACAGATTTTATTTTCTTGCACTCCAAATCACTGAAGATGTGACTTTCCCCATGAAATTAAAAGACACTTGCTTCATGAGAGGAGAGCTATGACAAATCTAGACAGCATATTAAAAAGCAGAGCCATCTCCTTGCCGACAAAAGTGTATACACTCAAAGCTACGGTTTTCCCAGTAGTACTGTATGGCTATGGCCCATAAAAGGGCTGAATGCTGAGGAACTGATGCTTTCAAATTGTGGTGTTGGAGAAGACATTTGAGAGAGCTCGGACTGCAAGGAGAGTCCATCAGTCAATCCTAAAGGAAATCGACTCTGACTGTTCTTTGGGAGGACAGATACTGAAACTTAAGCTCAAATACTTTGGCCATCAAATGACAAGACAGAATTCATTGGAAAAGACCCTGTTGTTGGGAAAGATCGAAGGCAAAAGGAGAAAGGAATGGTAGAGAATCAGATGATGAGATAGTATCATTGATGCAGTGAACATGAATTTGGGCAAACTCCTGGAAACAGTATAAGTCAGGAGATCCTGACATCCCTCTGGTCCGTGGGATTGTGAAGAGTAGGACATGACTTAACAACTGAATAACAAACAATAAAGGTTAATGTACATTTCAAAAATCATTATGTCAGGTAGACCATTTTTTAGTGTGTGTAATAAATACAAATCTAGGTCGTGCCCATAAACACTTTGTGAGTCCCAACACAAGAAGCATTTATAAATGATAAATAAACATAAATGGTTAAATTACTGTGATGTACTAGACTTTTCTCAAGGAGATTATAAAATAAATTCAAGAGATGTTAACAGAAGGATCATTTTCCAATTATCAGAGATTTACAGTGGCTAAAATATGTTACGGTTTTGAACAAAGTTTGAAACAGAATTATATACAAACAATGTTGTTGCTAAAATGTATAATTTTTTGTTGAAATATGAAATAGAGGAAGACCAAGTATAAGTGTATGATAAACTAGGCTAAAAAATTAAGTTATAATATACAAGTGGATCAATGGGAAACTATGTGATTGAAATGACTGGAATTTACACTGTGTTTTCGTGTTAAAGAAAATTTTGATAAATTGATGTACCATTGTTATTTGTCACCAGAGAAATTATCTATGTAGCAGACTAACAGGTAGAGCAAAGGGGTGGAGTCAAGAGAGGTACAATACATTCCCACAAACCAACCCTTCTTGAATTTCTTTAACTCTTATCTACTGCCAATTTAGTGCTGACCATTAGTGGATCAGATTCTTGTGTGTAGGCATGAGCAATAAATCATCTTAACTGGAACTTAAGGTTTAGTCCTGATTCTTCACGCCTGACAATTTAGAATGTATAAAGGCACTTTGAATTTATGATGGAAATGTGAACAATATGAAGAAATATTTTGTTGTATGGTGGATATGTAAAAGAAAAAAACCTAAAATCTGTCTTTCTGCAAACAACTTGCTGTGCAATGATGAGGTGGGCAAAGAAAAAAAGGCAGAACAGAGAAAAACAAAGAGAAAAGGAAGATTGCATCTGAATGACTTTTGGCTTAGTTCTGCCTTACCATTGCCAACACATGGCCTTCAAATTGATGAGCTCCTATAGGAACATTGCTTTCCAAATCAGAATGATACCTGGTTCTGGATTTCAAGAAGCCCACAGCCAAATTCAGTTGTCCTCTGTTTTTAGGCTTATCATTTCTCAGGCAATCTTCATTCTATTATATACAAACTGGTGGGAAAAGGAAAGTCTGGGTGCTACTTTTAAAAGCAGCCAAAATAGATATCAGTGTACTGTTATAAAGTGATGAGAACTATTAATCTGGTAAATGTGATCCCATGAAGATGATATCCATTGCAAGAAATGGGTAACTATACCCCCAGAGAATACAGTATTCTGTGCTGTTGTTTACATGCCCATTTATGTGCAAATGAACAGTGAACCAAATAAAGGCACTTCAGGGTTGATTCCCATGCTGTGAAGCTTCAAAATGTATCCCAGATTGTAGGAAAATCTGAAGGCTAAAAGGAGTTCAGGAGCTATTACCTCTGGTAAGATTTTGCACAAGGGTAAAATTAATCTTTCTGATTGCAACCTCTCTGTCGTACCTAGCAGCAAAATAGCTCTCCACATAGCAGTGTAAAATCTTTGGGCTAATGTTAATGACTTGACTAAGTGAGAGGTATATGATTGCCTGAAAGTAATGGATGATTACTGGTTCAAGTGCCTTGGGCATCCTAGCTTCTTTCTTTAGTGCCAATTTTTTAATTTTTTTCTATTATTTTCTTCCAGCAGAAGAGTTAAATCTGAAGAGCATATAGCTAAATTCTGGCCAATAGCCACATATTTTATTCTCTTTCTTTTCAGCATTGACATATACTATGGGGAGCCGTTCATCACAAATGCATGTGTAGAAATGGTTAGGCATTTAAAAAATGATAAAATGAGTGCACCACAACAGACTTATTTGCTTCTGAATAATAATGCTACTCCAGTAGAGACAGAATCATACCCTGATATGGGCTCTTTTTTTGTTGGAAAACTTTACAGAGCACTGAGAGCTGTAGGCATAGGAAGAGTAAGAAAGATGACTAGGAAGGATACAAGAATTGGTATGATGAATAACTACTGGATCAGAACTTGTGAAACAGCTATTCAAAATCAAAGGAGATTCTCAATCATCCAGGTCATGGCTCTGCTTTTTCAAAAAGGCATCTGAACCTTCTTGGGGGTTTTTTTTTCCATTTGAAAACTTTTCACTTCATATTCAAGAATTTTCTTCAATTCTGAAGAATCAGTTCTGAAATGAAGAAGCTTCTTGGATGAGAAGTGAAACATTCTCAAAGAGAAAAATAAACAAGAAAGTCCTGTTACTTTTTTTAGAAAAAGCAACTTTGGGACAGCCATTCAAAGAACTTTAGCCAGAACTCCCCAAAGTCCCTTCATGATTGCATCTCATGTGTTTTTAATTGAACTACAAGTAGTCCTCAACTAATGACCACAATTGAGCCCAAAATTTCCGTTGTTAAGCGAGACATTTGTTAAGTGTGTTTTGCCCCATTTTACAACCTTTCTTGACAGTTCTTAAGTGAATCACTGCAGTTGTTAAGTTAGTCAACAAGATTTGCCACCATCGCAGTAACAAAATTAAGTGAACCTGGCTTCCCTACTGACTTTGCTTGTCAGAGGGTCACAAAAGGTGATCACATGATCCAGGGATACTGCATTGGTCATAAATATTAGTTGCCAAGCATCTGAATTTTAATCACGTGATCAAATGGGGACGCCCCAACGGTCATAAATATGAAAAATGATCATAAATCACCTTTTTTTCAGTGCTGTTATAACTTTGAACGGCCACTAAAAGAACTATTTGTAAGACGAGGGCTACCCGTACTATTCTTGTGCCTTTCGAATGGACTGGATTACAAGTCCCATAACTCCTAGTACCTCGCTTCAAACAAAGCACCTATCAAAACATTTAAATTATGGGGCATGCAGACCGACCCATCTGAAGGGCGCCAACTCGGAGGAGCTGAACCGAAAAGTTGCCTGTTCAACTCTTAGCAAACGACCGATGTGGGGCGAGGGTTGCGCGCCCCCAACCTACTCACTGCTTAAGGGGGTCGTGGAAGGGCAAGGCCAGCCAGCCCGGGTGCATCTTGTACATAAAGCTCGCCATTTCTTCCCGGCTGCGGTCGGACGAGATGAAGACGATCTGGAAAGGGGCCGGATGAGTGCCGACATCCACCAATTCGCTGTAGAAATCGCACAGCGTGGGGGTGAAGTCCCTGCAGAGGGAGCACCAGGCGGCCGAAAAGTACAAGCCCACGATTTTGTTCTCCAAAGCTTGCTCGGGGTCCACGAAGCCGCCCTCTAGGTTCACGAGGATCCGCCCGCCGAACAAATCCACCATGCTGAGAGCGAGCGGGCGGGCGGGCGGCCGCCCGGAGGAGCTACGTAGGAAGGGAAGGAATCAACTGCAGGACGGCCGGCCCTTGAATTGCTTACGCCGATGCTCGCAAAACATCCACGGGGACAACTTTTCCCCGACGGCGGGAAAAATGGGCGCCGTCCTCTTTTTCCGATGCTCTTCCCTCGCCAAGGCGCCCTGGGAGGCGACTCGACGGCTCCTCGGATCCGATCTCTGCCCCAGAACCGCCCTGAGAAGAATAAAAGCCCCCGACGCCTGGAGGGCAGACACGTAGGCGGCAGAAAGAAAATGAACGTCGGGCTCAGAGAATCCGATGAGCGGGATTAAAGGCTTGCGAATATAGTTGCCTGAGCTATAAATGGATGTGACGTTTTTTAAAAATAGACCCCGAAAGCCAGACTTAAGAGGAGCGTTGGGAAAGCTCGCGTCTTTTCTCAAGAATTATTCCCCAGGCCCGATTGCACCACGACGGGGCGTGTCTCTGTTGAGAAGACGGAGCGACAAGTGCGACCAAGTTAATGGTCGGTCGCCCTTCAAATCCGAGACCACAACGATAGGCCAGCACAAGGGCGACTCAGGCGCTCAGTCCTGCAAAATGTGGAAAAGAAGGAAAGGAAGATTGTTAGGAACGGGACTAAAGTGCTTTTGGCTTTTCCCGTTGCATTATACCACCATCTCCAAGCCTCAAGTACAAATACCTCAGTAACCTTCCTAAGAGTCTTTTTCAGCCAGGTACTCTAGTATATTGCCAATGCAAAGCATTCTCAATCGGCATAACCACGTTGGATGAGAACTGGGAACAATGGGAAGGACTGGTTAAGAGCTGGCGCAGGGCAGTGAAAATAATTTCAAAAATCATGCGAACCTAGAGGTTTGACTGAGGGCTACAATGCCGTCCTCCCTTTCAGATTTGTATTAGTGGAGATTTTGGACTGGAATGAGGTGCCTCAGCTTGAACTGGCTCCTCCCTTAGGTGCTGCAGTTGTGAGATAACTCTGTTTTGCACCTATTGCACACCTCAGTGATTGGAAACTGCTGCCATCACTCCTTCCTTCCCAACCAGTTTGTCACTTCTACTTTTGGCTGTAAGGTGACTACTTCTGGGCTCATAAAGCTATTATTTAAAAGGCAAGCTGCTCCCCGCTATTTGTACACAGAGGCATTCATAGCCAGAAAGTATATCTGTATGCCCAGGTACATGAGCATTGCCTTAACCAAGTTTTTTTGAATAATTAATAATAATAAAAATATTCTTCCAATGTTTTTGAGTGTAACTCTAGGAAGTCCCATCAATGATGGTCATTAAGGAAGTCTTAAAAAGAACAGATACAGCCGTGTACTCCTAGCATAATTGTTCATATCCCTCAATTTCCTAAACAAGTTGCAGGCCTTATTAAAGATATGCCTGAAATTTCTCCTGGTAACTTTTGTCTTACTCTTTCCACCTTACAAGCACTCGCTGTAGTGGAAAATGTCAAGCTTTGCTTTGGTTGCACAGCAAGTGCGCCTTTGGGAATGGTACAGGTTAGAAGCAGACACATTCAGGTGGAAGGACCTACAGATATGAATTCTTGTTTCTATAGTATAGTCATAGAGAATTCAGCTGGGAATTCTGAGATTGCAGTCCCTGTAGCCAGATGAGAATAAGCTGAACGTTAGTCTGGGAAGAAAGATCAAATTCAAGTCCTTACTTCACCCTGAAGGTCATGAGTAATTTTAGGCTAGTCATTATCTCTCATCCCATCCTACTATAGACAGTTATTGAGATTAAAACAAGAGTTGGGTCCCCTGGGAACATACAGTACATATGCATAAGAAAGAAATAATGCACGGCTATAGGAGCCTTTGGCATGTTGTATTTTTCTAACAGTCTGGTAATTATATGCAGTGCAGTTTAATTATGTAGAGTGCAAAGCTAATATCATCTAGGGATTTAGAAAAGAAGACTCTAGAGAGTGAAAGTTATCTTATTTCTTCTAAAGGAAAACAAAACCAAATCATCGGACATGATTCTAAGAAAAAGTGTGGATTATTGTACTCTGTGGAGATACAGTTAACAAAAGGCCACTTACAGGTCTAAAATATTTATGACTATGTGATGTTTAACTGTAAATAGAGCAGCTTTCCACAAAATAGATTTTGCTTGTTTATGTTACCCTTTAGCAATTAAATAATTATAACACAATTACAGATCTTCCCTTGAGAACTATTAAACAGCAAAAACATATATTTTACTTGACTATTTGATGAAAAAGCTAATTTTAAAATACTACAGATGTTTAATAAAAGTCATTTTCTTGGAGGAGCAACTGGTAAATAATACATCATTTTGTATGTTTCTTAGACACCGACACCCATAATTCCCAGCTCACATGGCTGGGAAACATTATAATGCAACAAATTAATAAAATGTTTTTTTGTTTGAAAAGAAGGATTCAATTATTTATGCCCAAGCTTTGGACATGTATATTCCAATGACATATAGAGTTATTGTAAATTAAATGCTGTTTTATGTATGGAGTCACAAACTGCAGTCTTCAACTACAAACTTCCAGTTTTCATTGGTTCAGGTCATAGGCCACTTCATGGCCAATTTGGGCTTGGCTTGCCAAAAAAGCAAATATAGGTAGTCCTTGATTTACTACCATAATTGAGCCTAAAAGTTATGTTGCTAAGTGGAACATTTGTTAAGTGAGCTTTGCACTATTTTACGACCTTTCTTGCCACAGTTATTAAGTGAATCACTGACGTTGTTAAGTTAGTATCACAGTTGTTAAGTGAATCTGGCTTCCCCATTGACTTTGCTTGTCAGAAGGTTGCAAAAGGGGATCACATGACCTTGAGACACTGCAACGATCATAAATATGAATCAGTTACAAAACATCCAAATTTTGATCACATGACCAAGGGGATGCTGCAACTGTTCTAAGTATGAAAAAACTGTCATATGTCCCCCTTTTCAGTGCTGTTATAACTTCAAACAGTCACTAAATGAACTGTTGTAAATCAAGGATTACCTGTAGCTGGTTTGTGAGGAGATAGCCTCATAGTATACCTCTGGTTGCTGTCAACAGCAAGCACTCACTCCCAACACTCACCTTCTCTTGTTGAATTTTGAGATATTTAGTATCTAAGGGAAAACTGAAGAGTTCTGCCCATTTCTCCTCTTAGCCCAAGTATCAGAAGAATAGTTAAAACTGTCAACAGGTTTTCTGGAAGACTGATAAATTTTCATCCAAAGCAGATATACAATGGGCTGGAGAAGCGCGGAAGGGTGGTGGCTTTACCTCAGAGCCCTTCTCTTTTCCACTGAACTGTCAGCTGTGGTTTTTTTTGAGCAGAGATTTACTAATCTTTAGGCTGGGAGAAATGTTTTCAATTCTTCTCATCATTTGGGCTTCCAGCAGAGGTGGGCTTCAGCAGGTTCTGACCAGTTCTGGAGAACCGGTAGCGGAAATTTTGAGTATTTCGGAGAACTGGTAGTAAAAATTCTGACTGGCCCCGCCCCCATCTATTCTCGCCTCCCGAGTCCCAGCTGATCAGGAAGAAATGGGGATTTTGCAGTAACCGTCCCCTGGAATGGGGTGGGAATGGAGATTTTACAGTATCATTCCCCTGCCACGTCCACCACACCACACCCACCACGCCATGCCCACCAAGCCACACCCACAGAACTGGTAATAAAAAAATTTGAAACCCACCACTGGTTTCCAGAAGCATGTTAGATCTGCCTTCAGAAATAGCCTGAGTAATAGGTTATCAGGGCACAACACATCCATACTCTTGAACTATTGCTCAAATAACTTGAAAAGTTGAGGTGAATGTTCGTTTCTCAAGCTTGTGGGTTGGTTTCCGAATGTATCATTACCAGACTAGGTAATATCTTCAGTGGAGTTTAGGAAATCCCCTAAACTTCTCTAAAAATGATTGCTGCAAAATTGTCTGTAGAAAACTGAACCAACAGAACTACCTACGACCTTATGACTGAGGCAAATAGGAACTTACCTCTCAGGGCTTCAAAGTTATCCTTGGCATACTTTTCTGCAGCTTCAAGAACTATGGGAATCTATGTTAAGGCAACTATGAGTTACCATATCTGAATTGCAAAACTTGAGAGAACCACAAGATTGCAGCAAAAATATGCTATATATGGGAGCCCTATTTAAGGGTTATAGGTCTTATGCCTGTGGATCATGTATGGCCCACCAGACATAGCAGCAGGCGATTTAACCATTTAATTGGGAAAGGAGTCCGGCAAGGCTGTATACTGTCGTTCTGCCTATTTAACTTATATGCAGAGCACATCATGAGAAAGGCGGGGCTAGATGAATCAAAAGTTGTAATTAAGATTGCTGGGAGAAATATCAACAACCTCAGATATGCAGATGATACCACTCTAATTGCAGAAAGCGAAGAGGAACTAAAGAGCCTCTTGATGTGGGTGAAGAAGGACAGTGCAAAAGTTGGCTTGAAACTCAACATTAAGAAAACTAAGATCATGGCATCTGGCCCTCTCAATTCCTGGCAAATAGATGGGGAAGAAATGGAGGTAGTGACAGATTTTATTTTCCCGGGCTCCAAGATCACCGCAGATGGGGACTGCAGCAAGAATTAAGAGACGCTTGCTCCTGGGGAGGAAAGCTATGGCAAATCTAGATAGCTTACTATAAAGCAGAGACATCACCCTGCCAACAAAAGTGTGTATAGTCAAAGCTATTATTTTCCCAGTTATAATGTATGGCTGTGAAAGTTGGACCATAAGAAAGGCTGAGTGCCAAAGAATTGAGGCCTTTGAACTATGGTGCTGGAGAAGACTCCTGCGAGTCCCTTGGACTGCAAGGCGACCAAACCGGTCAGTCCTAGAGGAGATCAACCCTGACTGCTCTTTAGAAGGCCAGATCCTGATGAAGATGAAACTCAAATACTTTGGCCACCTAATGAGAAGGAAGGACTCACCGGAGAACAGCTTAATGCTGGGAAAGATTGAGGGCAAAAGAAAAAGGGACGACAGAGAACGAGGTGGCTGAATGGAGTCACTGAAGAAGTAGGCGTGAGCTTACTGTAAATGGACCCCAGAAAATGGTAGAGGGCAGGGAGGCCTGGAGGAACATTGTCCATGGGGTCGCAATGGATGGACATGACTTTGGAACTAACAACAAGATTTAACCATAAAAGTTTAGGATGAGGCTAAACAATATTTTTATTCCTAAAATATTTTTTTAGAATTTTGAGCACATGCAATAGATGTACTTGATCTGTCCAGCACAAAATGGCTCCTATAGTAAAACATGACTAGTCACAAAACAGCCATTCACCAGAAAATGAGCTAGAATGCTCTCTACCAACTAGGACTTCTGTAGGTTTAAAGAAATTCCTTAAAAGAAATATGATTCTAGAGGTGGTGCTTTGCACCAATCATTTTCCTATGTAATTTTTTATTAAAGTCGGAAGAGGTAATAATAATTTTTAATAATAATTTTATTTCTATACCGCCCTTCTCCCGAAGGACTCAGGGCGGAGTACAGCCAGTTTAAAAACACAAGACACAACAATAATT